ACAGAATCTGTATATGGTAAAAATTGTCTACAAAGAGAGAAAAATTACCAGGATCATAATGATCCGAATAGGCAGCTTAAATGTTTGACACGGAATATATGTATATAGATTATTCGGCAACGACACAATGCTATCTACACAACCCGTCGTCCTGTATTAAGGACACGGTGTGGGTCCTCCAAAGACACATAACAACAGACTTTAGCAGAAATTAGCGCAAGTGAAAAATGGTCCCAGATTTCACATAAATGATTGTTATGGCGATCTTGATACAATTTGTGCTACAGAAAAATGATTGTCTACGTGTTGGAATGCTTTCGATCGGTGAATTATTGGATGAAATGAGGATTTGACACTTAAATGAGGATAATTTTTAATATTTTGAAATGAGGATAACAAATACACACCACATACAAGCACTTGTTTAATGTTTAACTTCCGTAAGCTTTGGGGGGATTCATCTTAACAATGTACCCCTGTCCCATGCCAATCTGAGAAGAAATAACATTTGTGCTGTTTTACTCATAGTTGAGTACTCTTTCTGAAACGTGAAAAATTTTGATTATGAAAAGGGGGAAAAATCGATACTGGGCTTGCGTACTGAAGAGCCTTTATTCTGTTGAAAAGCAGCAGATATGCCATAAGGCCGGTTTCTCTGTACTCATGGCCAGATTAAAAAAATTAAAAAAATTAAAATCAACAATGCCCATTTTGTACAAGGTATGATTGTTTGAGAGAATATATTTAATCGTTATGCTCTATTTATAAGTGTAAAATTATAATCACCATGTTTAGCTAAATTTCAATAATATATTTTGAGAAATAAGCATTTGATTTCTAGTAAAATTTTCACACAGTAAAATTTTAGGAAACTATTAAAAAATCAAAACAATTTCTTAGGTTAAACACAAATAAGATTTAGTTAGTGAGGTGTCGCTAAATTACGACAAAAAGTTATAATGTCACCCGACAGTCGCTAGTTATGATGTCACCCCTGATAGTCGCTAGTTATGATGTCACTCCGACAGTCGCTAGTTATGATGTCACCCCGACAGTCCCTAGTTATGATGTCACCCCAACAGTCGCTAGTTATGCAAGTCTTTGGGACCTAGGGTATGAAGTCTATGATAACTCCTTATTAATTGACAACAAAACTCTAATGTCCAGGCATTTGAAATGATTTATGAGATATAAAAAGAATTATCACAGATTTGAAATTACATTATTTCAAAATTATCTTTTGTTTGAACGTTAAACTCGATGAATGCACATTTTTTTGGAACATTTAGAAAATAATTGTATTTTTTTTATGATTTTTTCCAGATTTTTTTTTATTGAACTTTCAAATATTGTCTTTTTTGTATTTTCTAAACATTTGCTAATTTCTGAAAGTGTGCAAAGTTATCTCCCTTGCAGTGTTATCAATTCTCCTGGATTTTATTATTTCTCCATTTGAACTGTGTGTTTCTGTCTACTTCTCTTGGATTTTAATAATAGTTTCAGATTTTCACCTTGAACAAAATAAGATATGTCTTTAAAAAAACAAAAAAAAACATTTAATGAGCAATAAAAATTGGGTTATCCCACACGGATCATTCGGATGATATTTGATTCAACTCGGTGATATATGAATCAGGAAAACTGCCTATGACACGTTACAAAGCAAATAAATTTCACTGTAAAATATGTACAAAATAAACAAAAAGAACATGCATGACAATTTAAAAATTATTACATTAACAATTATTGAGCTTATTACAATGTACACAGACACACAAACACATTTATTAATATATATATTCTGTATATCTATCTACTGATAAATGCCGACACACTTTCAATTAAATATGACAAAACAAGAATAATTCAACCTTTGATTTGAAATGGCAATTTCAAATTATGTATGATCTATGAAGTAACATAATCAACTTCATGCTTGCTAAAAAACACAATGGGTGCACAATTTTTCTTTTTCTGTGAGTGCCGTATGCACATTGGGCAATCAACTCACATTCATTTGGCAACATGCAAGTCTGTCATATTGAATTTTAAGCTTGGAGGCCATGAGCATCTCAGAGTTCATAACAATAATTATTCTTTTTTCACCTTGAACTTTTGGTTTAACCCTTTCACCCCTATGTAACTTTAGTAGAATCTACCATGCATTGATATGGATGAGCCCATTATGGTTTACAGTGGTGAAAAGGTTCCATATTATTCTAGTTACTGAGTGTTTCATATTCATCGGTACCTTGCTTTTTGTTGTTTCAAGTTATCGCATAAACTTTTCGTGTCTAAAACGAATAAATAATTTTAAGAAAATGACACCTTGACTTTTGTGGTTTCAAGTTATGGCATAAACCTTTTGCATGTTAAAATGGAGACAAAAATCTTTGACACAGTTATTTATATGATAAATATATATATATAGATTATCACTAAGCAATGAAATACATTCCTCTAAAAATATTTAAAAAATTCATGGTAACATTTTCACATCCTTACAATCTTTTCAAGTTTGTGACACAAACTAATGATACTAACAAGTGTACAGTGTGTTCTACTTAAAGAACCCTAGCCTACTGCAGAAAAAAACACTAGAGAGTTCCACTTTAGTTTTTTTATTCCATTTAGTAACAATTAATGGCAGTGGTACAAGGATCCTGAAAATTATCTTGATTGCAAGGTTGGGTTCCATCCTCAAAATTCCAGGGGTTACACTCATTATGTTAACACACTGCACTCCTGGAAAATGTCATAACAAAACTGAAGGTACCCTGTTAGCAATTTGTTTGGTTTCAGGTAAAAAATAAATAAATGACCAATCGCTAGGCTCACACCTGGTAAATGAAGATTACAGAGCAGCAAAACCGGTCTTCAAAGCCAGTCAATTTTACTGTTATACTGCACCATCCTTTCTGTTGTAGTAGAATGTGATGGCAATTAATTATCTATATATATAAGCTGATGCTCTTGGAGACTTCTGAATATCCTCTTCTCACCTGTTACCTTGGCCTTGAAGTTTGGAGGATATCTACACACTAAAGAGAGCGTGACCCTTGAAGTTTGGAGGATATCTACACACTAAAGAGAGTGTGACCCTTGAAGTTTGGAGGATATCTACACACTAAAGAGAGTGTGACCCTTGAAGTAAGAAGGATATCTACACACTAAAGAGAGTGTAACCCTTGAAGTTAGAAGGATATCTACGCACTAAAGAGAGCGTGTTCCTTGAAGTTTGGAGGATATCTACACACTAAAGAGAGTGTAACCCTTGAAGTTTGGAGGATATCTACACACTAAAGAGAGTGTAACCCTTGAAGTTAGAAGGATATCTACGCACTAAAGAGAGCGTGTTCCTTGAAGTTAGAAGGATATCTACACACTAAAGAGAGTGTAACCCTTGAAGTTAGAAGGATATCTACACACTAAAGAGAGCGTAACCTTCTACACACTAAAGAGAGTTTTTACCGAAGTCATACATGTACGACTGGCAGTGTTTTCTGTAAAATTTACATAATAATGTATTGCACTTTTGAGGGAAAAAACTATACAAAGGAAAGACATAATATTTCAATTTTTGAAATTAGACTCCTATACTTTCAATTATTGCAACTTTTTTCTTACGAACTTATTTTCTAGAAAATACACTTCACATTTATCGGAGAATTTGATCCTAACATGTTGAAAGATATGCTGAATGAAAGAGAAATTGCCATTTTAAGGGGGAAGGTAATTTTTATATGATTTGTATTATGCTTCTGGGAACAGACTTCATGTTATGCTAAAGGGAAGATAACTCTATTTAGAAACATAAAGAGAACTCTTTATAATACATATGATATGTAAAGGGATATGGTATGTAAATGATATGGTAAAGGGAAAGGAAACTGGATTAAAGTTTTGTTGAGGAGACTGATTACTGTATGCGAGTCTATGATTACTGTATACGGAGAGACTCGCTCTGTGAAATATCCGCTCATCTCTAGTAAAATACAGTATGATCTGTACCAATACACTAACCAAAGCAAATCCTCGTAACAGAAGGAGAAAGGCAAAGTGCAGCAAAAAAACCCTGCTATCCAGTATTTTAAGGGGAAGATAACTCTGACATGATTATGTTATTCAAAGCTGATGTTATCATGACTCATAAACTACATTCAAAATTCACAAGCTTCTTAAATGGTTAATTTGTATCTGCAAATGATAAAAACGCTAATCCAACACTAAATTACTGTATATTGAATTTTCCCCCAGTCTTTTTCGCCCTCCATGATGAGAGCGAATTTATCATTATAGCAAATGTATATAAACAACATAATATACACACTCTTACAATCCATACCATGCTTGCTCTTCCTATTTCTTGTGAGGATAGAATTAAAATAAATTCATGAAATGAAAAAGAGCATAACAGCTTTCAAAATAATGATAATAAAAAATAAACAGCAATTGGCACACCTACCTTTGGTATTTCATATTTTTTTTTTTACTATGTCATTACTTCCAATATGTTCCATTTAATATCACATTTTCCCCCTCTCTATGTATTATACGTAAATTAGTTTGTTTTATATCATGTGATATTACATGTACTCCTTTTAATATCAATATCCAGTTACCTAACATACTGCATATCAGTGAAAATGATTGTATACACCGATACTTTACCCTGGTTGTGTTGTGAAAATGTGTGAAAAAATACTGCAAAAACGAAGGCAAATCATGTGAAAAATTCCCCCACTTCTAAACGAACTTCTGTACAAATAATTAACAATGGGTTAAAGCTCTTCATTAAGTGGGGCTCGTGACCTGGGTCAGTATTATTCCTGAACCTTTTCTCATGCTCAAGCTCAGATTTTGAGCTCAAGTCCAATATTTTGTTCTAGCAATAACTTAACTATCGAAAGAAATTTGGAGAAACTGAAAGTCCAATACTGTTTAAGAGTTTACACTTGACTTTCTTACCTTTTTATACAGAAACCATACTTGAGCACGAGAACAGTTTCTTGAAAACGGGCCAGATTTTGGAATGTGACATTCTGCCATCCCAACCAAGAGGTTACTTGCATACAAAATCTGGCAATCATAAGTGACAGAGGATATGAGATATGCCTCATACAAAAGGAACGGACGGACAGAGTGCAAATTCAGTCCCCTAGGTAGTACCATCTGGGGTCAAAAAAAGATGGACTTTTGCTAGGTTATACTAGAACCAGATACTGAAAATCAGCTCCTAGTTTCAAATCCAGGATTTTTTTTTTTTTATGTATGCTGTATATCAAAAATGTTTTAAATCATAATTGTTTCTAATCCAAAGTATGCCACAAAAAACAAATAGCAAATGTTTTTGACGTTAATTTATAATATTTCCTAAAGCAAAAAATAAATATTGAAATATACTACAAGATGAATGCATGTATGGCAAATGCTGTTTTAAAGATTAGGTGAAACTTTGATCTTTTGATTTTCATGAATGACCGGTGACAAATGATGTACAAACTGGAGATAAAACTCCCTGTATTAAATTATAATTATATCATGTATACATGTATCCGAAGTTTGACGGTTTGCTAAACCTGGACTCCTACAGACTGATACAACCATTGTTGCTTCATCCTGCGAAACCCAGTCGTCATCTTTCCGTGGTCAGAATCTGGATGGCGGTCAGAAGGGACGAAGCAGCCTCCTTGACCTTTTCATCCTCGTGGTTGGTCAGTTTTTCTGTCAGGCCGGCAATTCCTGATGTGGCGATATCCTCCTTCAAAGTACCTGTAATAAAACAATTACCATTTTACTTCGGCTCGATTAACCCCGAGATCTGATTTTTTTTCTCTTAAAAGTAAAAGTAGGTGAATAAAAAAAAACAGAAACAGAAGACATGGCTGTGCCGTTAGCATATTTCATTAAAGAATTTGATGTTCATCAGAAGAAAACTTCTTGTCAAGGGACATAACTAACACATTTTTCCAGCTGTAAGCCCAGGGTCCATCACAGAAGCTCCTACTCAAATTTAGGAGTGGGCTTATCTTACTGGAAAATGAAATAGCGTTTGATGGCATTTCTACTTGACAGCAACAGCTAGGGTGGGCTTATTACCAGGCATGGGCTTATTGCTGGAAGAATACAGTGCATTTTAAGTTAATTGTAATTGTAATATGCATGTTCATTGAAAGCCTGCTTTACCATAAATATCTGTATTTCATCACAATTGTTTTTTAAATTTGTTTTCAAATGTTGCCTAAATGTTTAAAGGAATGGCAAAATAAACTGGTTCTGTACAAAAACCAGTTTGGTAGTTCATATAAATTGTCATCTTTTTACAATTCTACGACATCATGAATGTAATGATGTCACAATCAGGGTAATGCAAATTTCTTGTTTCAAGACACAGAAATTAAAGGTATATACATACTACCTTACTCAAACATGTACCTTCATTCAATAAGAGTTCTATACTATGATCTATGTTAACGTCTTTGATCATGTCACTGGCCGGGTGAAAATTTTAGAAGTTGAAAATGTGTGAGCCAAATTGAGGACAATCTTAGATTGTGAATTTACCCAACAAAGCAAGACTTAGGACAAAAGGACCCCTGTTTGTCCTAAGGTTTCCTTATGGTAATTGGGAAGACAACAATGTTTCAGACTATCATTGCCAAAAAGTGTAATCAAATCCTAATAAATAAAGAATAATAATTTGTCTGAGCCATATAATGATTATTTGAAGTTGAAAGTGCTTCTAGTCCCTGTTGGGTCCTGCCCCTTTTCCACCCCTTTATTAATACAACCATGAATCTCCTTAATCCATGAATGCTCCATGATACCTGATGAGATTAAATTCCTTTGGCCATATATTTAAGAAGGCTTTGAGAGATTTACCAATATTTCCTCTAATGAGCCTCCCCCCTGCCCCAAGGGGCCACACCCTTTATTTATAGAATCAAGTATCTTGTTTCGGGAATTATCCATGCCAAATTAGATTCAACTCTTTGAACCTTTAATTCAGGATATGCTTTAAAAGATTTACATTGATTTCCCATACTGGACTTGTAATTCTGCCCAAGGGACGGACCCCCCCCCCCTTTTTTTTTACTCCTCTGTGATTTCTCTTTCTCAATAATTCTCCCTGCTTCACATCTGTTCACTCGCGCTTGCGTCTTTTAAAATTCAGAATTTTCCAAATTAACCCCAAAATGAACAGGGTTTCTGATAGACCCATGGCTATTGATCCTGCAAAGTTTAAGGTCGTAGTTGTATAATTATGCACAAAAGGTCACTGTGACCTTGACCTTTGATATTTTGATCTTTGGATTCTAAAACCTAAAGAATCCTCATTACCGCTATGGTAGACATCATGTGAAGTTTGATAACTAGCTGAAACCAAAAGGGAACAAAACTTGCAGACAAACAACCAAAGTTTCTACCGACAGGGTAACATTCCACTATATCTCCCTCCTATTCACTTTATTTGTGGGGATAATGTAAAAAACACTTCAGGCACGTATAATATCTCCAGTTGTCAAAGATATATGGTTGGTTGGATGGCCTATCAGATAGTGAAATCATCTTTCACAAAGACAATTGGGGTTCGATTCCCGAAAAGGATGCGAGAATTTATTGAGTCACCTGCCCGGCCGTGTTTTTCTTCTTGATACTCGGGATTCCTACCACATTAAGTCATTCACCCCTGAAGACAAAGGTTGGAATAGGGGTGAACGAGTTAACAGACATATGCTTATAGAAAATTCCTTGTCTACATCATTAGAGAAGATACATTTTCTACATTTCCACGCGGTTCTACAATAACGAATCAGTTCTACGACAAAGGCTGGACGGTTTACATAAACAAACAAATGTGTATTGTCAAGCAAAGCAAGTTTTGCTAGGTGTATACTTGAAATGAAAGGAAAGGAAAGGAAATCGAACAACAATCAAATAATATGAAGACAAGAAAAAAAATATCAAAAATTATTGAAGAGGCAGGATCACAAAACCGAAAATCTCTGAAAAATAACAAAAGAAATCCACATGCTGAGTTTGTCAAACAAATCAAAATACGAAATAATACCATACAACACAAAGAAATGGACATTGAAAGTTCATACTTTGCATATCAGAAAGCAAACCAGCACAGGCCAGGATGCTGCAAGGAATCATCTGATTGGTGGAAGGAGTTGCTGCAAAGTAAACAGTGATTTGATTGGTCAGCTTTTAACCATGTTGCTAGGATACAAAAAAAAAAAAGTGGTAAAAAAAAAATATTAAAATTTTTTGAAAGAAAATAAACTTTAGAAGTCGTAACAGGATTTAATGTAAATACCTGATTTTTTGAAAAATAAATCTCTGAAAATCAAATATCAAGCATTTTTTTTTTTTTAAATAAGCTTAAAAATAGCCATAGCAACAGATTGGTGAGATGTCAAATATGGTCTGAAGAAGAAAGGTTAAGGGAAAAAAAAAAATCTGCAAGCAAGAGTTGACGATAAAAGCAGGTTGTCCTTAAACATCGAGGGTTGTCCAGGTTAGGTTAACAATTTAGGAAGGTTTAGAAGCAGAGTAATCTAAAAAATATTGAGGGAGTTATCTCCCTTGATACAGTAAGCCCCTGAATGACCTGAAATGCCATCTAGTGTATGATGAACACCTAAATAGACTGCTGGTCTTTATAGACAGTTTGGTATTATGTGGAACCCCCATTAGGGCAACTGGAAAGTTCTAAAATAGTATTATTTGTTCTTAATTAACTACCGTGGCTATCTGTTTAGGCCTGATGTTAAAATCTTCTTAAAAATAGTAAGTAAGTACAAAATTAAACAAACAAAAAAATCCCCTTTTTATATGGTTCTTTTGATTTTTCTCTCTATCAGGGAGAAATAATTTTTCAATACGGAACTTTTATTTGATATACTTTGTTTCGCAGACATTCTTTTGCTCCACTGTTCATAAATACAGTATACATGAAGATTTTTATGTAATGGAACTTTTCTAATTTCCATGGATAACTTTTCGAAAGCTTGCCACCAAAATCCTTCCATTTGTATAAATCAAATGATTTCAGCATACCGGTATATTGGCTTCGTCATATGACCTCAACCTATGGACATCTTTGTTAGCCTTGGCTACTGTATGGTACAGTTGCAGATTGTTAAAATATACCGTTTTCAGCATTAATAACAAGAACGATGACGGACCATGTGTTTTGCAGAAAACCCATGGTTCTTTTCACAAAAGAATCATAAGTTTTCTCAAAAAGTAAGATATAGGGTAAATTTTGATTAAGGTAGCTAGCCCCAGCGCTCTGTGATGATGAAGTGTTCCAAAATTGTATGACGTTATAATGGCAAAGATTGATGTAACAACAAATCCTTTTATCACAAAAACATCTTCTCTGCCACAAGGATTGGATCCATTACCTTCTTGATAAATAAAGTAGAGTGCTTGTCCAATTTGCTGCCGGTCTTACAAAATAATTGTTAACGTATTTCTGCAACATTGATGGGCAATGACTCCCTACAAAGGCCTGTAACTTCTCTTTGTATGACCATAGGAAATAGCATTAATTTAACACGAGAATAACTTTTCAAAGCCTGTTTTCCGTAGAAAAGTTGTGCGACTCTCCACCTTAAGGAAAGTACAATGGCAAAATCTCTATGTCGAGAAACTTATATGGGTGGGTGGGTTGGTGGGGGGCTTATTTTGTTTGTTGCTGGCATTCATGCTTTATTGAAGCCCATAGGGTCTCCAGCACTCCATGGAGTCAAAAGTCCCTTTCAAGTTTAATTTTCAAGGTCAATAGAGGTTATATTTCTGTATTTCAGTTTTTGTTATCAAAAGGATTCTCCCAAAGATGCAAGCTTTAACAGTCACACAACAATTTGTTCTTTCATATTCCGCTGTAAATGTTTGTTTAAACTTTCAGAAAAAGCAGGAATTATGGTCAAACTTCAGTCTTAACAAACCTGTACTTATCTGACCTTGACCTCTGTCTCTGACCTTGAAGCTGAATTCTCAAAATTCTTGCATGTGAAATTAAATTCTGTATTATAAGCCTCCACGATACCGAGTGGTGCCTGTGATAAAAAAGCGTCGGACTTCCTTCAATTGTGACAGGACTTTTCCGAAAGACATGGAACAAGGTGGCATTCCGAAAAACTTTGTCAAACATGTGACGTCCGATGACCGAACCTTCATATATGGGTACATGTATGTATTTTACATACGAGTCCAGCATAAAGCATAATACAAAGCCTGTATCGGGAAAATAAACATAAAAAATAATTAAAGTTCAGTTGAGTATCAAACTGTAAAAAAATTATATGACAGTGATGCTTTCCTTTATCAAGGTGCTATAATTGTATAATAATTACCCGCTGTGCAGATGATTTTGGTGAGTTTCAAAGTATTGCATATTATCTCCGGGATGGCATCTTCCTTCTGTAGTATCGTGGTTATGGACTCGGTCAGGTCCGATTGCTTCAATGCCATGGCTACGTCCTCTGTGGAGGTCAAGGTCATTTAAAGGTTAAGGTCATTTGACTTGCTACATCTCCATTCTGTCCCTCTTGTGAGGAATACCTGGTTACTTATTTGATATTTATTTGTAAGCTAAAAATTAAGGCTCGTGCTTTTTAAAACAAAACTTCATTTAACGATCATTTAGTAAGTGATGGATACATTTGTATTTCATGTTAAACAACAAGAACATTAAACTTAAGTTAATATTGATATATTTGGAAAATGTAACTGAAGGCATTTTTTACAATTTTTTTCCCCGTATTATTTAATGGACGCACCGACAAAATATGACATAGAAAACAATAGATAAGGTACAGAAATTTCACTCACCACAATCATAGTTAAGCGCAATATGTAAAATGCAGCTAAAATATGTATCTTTAAATGTTAATTCATATACAATTCACAATATCAAATAACAAGTCACTGACCTAGAACAGCGGACACTATTAAGGTCAAGGCTACTAGAGCTTCGTTTTGCATGACGACATGTTCCGACACCGTCATAGAAACAAGATGCTCTATACCGTCAGCCTTCACAGCGTTCCTCATGACTTCGGACGAGTGGCTGTTTTTGATCAGCGAGGCTAACAGTCGTGTTGCTTCACCTGGATCACAAAGAAATTTCGTTAGGATTTTAAAACCAATTGTAAGTAGAAGCAAGCAGCCCAGGGGCCACATATAAATCATCTGGTCTTTGGACTTTCCCTTTGTTGATACAGTATGCCACAGTAGGTTAAAATCCCTTTACTTGTACTGAAGGAATAGTCTCAAGATTTATCCCTATATATTTTTCCCCATTGGGCCCCACCCTTCTACCCCCAGGGGGAGCCTCCCATTTCATTAAAACAATGTTGAGTACCCTTTGTTCATGGATGTTCTGTATCAAAATGTGTGAAAATTCATACAGCTTTTCTGGAAAAGAAGTCTTTTAGAGGCCATGACGTATAACATTTATAAACTCTATGGTGTCAACACATATGGACATATATCTATAACTCAAAATTTGGCATTAGAACACAACATAGATCGGGGAAACTAAAACAAAAGACTTCTAGTATGAACTTTCCATAAGAAACATTTAAATATATTTAGCCTATTTGACCTTCTTGCTTATGACCTCATATATATGAACTACTGACCTTTGACCCCTGCGTGTTCGTCCACATCACACCACTCCACCAGTCGTGTGACAAATTCACGGTTTTTCCCGAGCTGTACAGCTGCTGCCTCTGTGAAAAAAACAAATTTCACTTTCATTAAATTAATCTTTTTTCTTTTCTTTCATTAAAGTTGACCATTTGGTAAGTCAGAAAACAACACATATCTTCTGTCTCTAAGAAGAATCTCTAAAACAAAGGAAGAGATGGGATATTGAAAGGTGAATTAAGATAAAAGAAAAATGGAGAGATGAAAGGAAACAGAAAGGACGAAGAAAGGAAACATGATTACACAGGTATGCAGAAAGGAGAAATACAGAAATGCAGCATGGCAGAGTAGACACAAAATTTCACCGTATTTTGAAGAAAGAAAGGAGAAAGAAAATAACCCTGAATATGATAAAAACAAGAGTGAAAGATTGAGAGAAGATATAAACTGGATAGAGGGAAGGATTGAGAATATTGGAGACAATACGGAGACAAGACAGATGTGATCAGACAATGTCAGTAAATTGAATGTCTTGCTGTGTTTCCTTATTCCAAGCATGATCAAATACATTTTCTATTTATAGTAAGAGTGACCTCCACCTTTGACTCGGGACCCTGGATACAAAATCATTTGAGGTTTTATTGTAATAACCGTATGTGTTATGTTTCATAATAATTTATTCTTATCAAATATGAGGGTGGCAGAGCGATGAACCCCCATTTTCTATTTATAGTAACAGTGACCTTGACCTTTACCTATAAATCCTGAAATGCATACTAGTTTGAGGTTTTGTTGTAGTACTGCAAATTTGTGTCAAGTTCCATTAAAAACTATTGAAGGTAGTAGATTGATAAATCCTGGGGTTTAGGGACACCTGTGATCCATAGATTGACAGAAGGGCAGACAGACATACAGAAACAAATATGTTATTTTCCCCATTGTCATAGAGTAAACATGGATGGACAGAATGGGAGAATTTGTAAGATGGACAGAAAGGATATATGATGAGGAAGAGCGAGAACTGAAGAAGAAGAGATAGTGAAAGATTGAGGGAGAGAGAAAGGAGAAGGAAAAAGAGTGAGAGAACTAGAGACAGAGGAGAAGTGAAAAAGGAAGAGATAAACAGGGATGAAGAAAACATGAGAGATAGATTGAGAGAAGACGGGAGTGGGTTCAGAGACAGAGAGAGAACGAAAAACTTTATGTACAGATAAGTACATATTTGTAGGTCTGTTTATAAACAAACATTGCTTGTATGCCGATTGAAACCTGGAGCTGTTGGTGTGTACCCTGCTCTATCTCTTCCCCACCTTCTGTCACGTCCCAGCCTCCCAGCACTTCAGTGCCCTGTCATACTTATCAACAGTAATTCATTTGAGAACTGGAGAGCAAGGCTGAGGTCATCACAATTACGTATCTCCAACATTCTTTGTCGATTACACACTTGTTGCTCGGTCAGAGGAAATGTCCATCAACATCGCATAACAAGACTTTCTGACCCCCACTGGAGTAAAATCTAGACAAATTTTTTAAGGCCTTTCTCTTTCCAAAGCCTATGGGGAAACAGCAGGTATATAATTTAATATAATGTTAGAAGGCTTGTGAGAATTTTTGCACTATAAGCTTCTCAATAAATATGTTATTTTTGCCAAAATAATGTTATATTACCTTCCACATTTTTAACATCCTTCAAATCAAAATATATATATTTTGTTGAACATATATTTTGTCAAATAGTATTTTTGGTTCAATAATGAAGGCTTGCACAGTATAAACTGTCTTAATCAGTCCCTGTATACTGCAAATCCCTGTCTATATTGGTACTGATATTTAGTTTTGGCAGTTTCTCTCTCTTAACTCATTCACTCCTGAAGTGTCATAATGAACTATTCCAACCTTTGAATTGGAAGAGTTCAAATGTGTCTTCAGGGATGAATGTGTTGAGGATGCCCATACCACTGCCAATAACTAACTTCCCATTGAAAACTGTTTTCCCCCCATGACTATAGCTTTGATAAATCATTTCTGAAAAAGAAAACCATACCTCGCGGGACTTTTATGACAAAATAACAAAGGTGGGATAAACAAAATATAAATAACAATAGTGTGCTATGTGTAAACATTCATAATGGCTAGAATGGAAATTGAACCCTGGATCTCCGACTGTTATACTGTCTCTCTAACCGACTGAGCTACTTGGTCAACGGAAGTGTCCTGGCCTGACCGTGCTACAAAGGATATATTGAAATTAAGGGGAGGTTACTTTACATACGAAACATCAGAATGCAGTGAGAACAGAGATCCTGAAATCATAATATACCAACCCCGCGTTCACAGGAAATAAATCTAAATATCAACTTGGAATTTTCCCTTCATTTATGAAAGTCATGCTTCTGAATTATGGTGTGATTAAAATACCCTAAACAGAAATAAATCTCCATTTCGTTGATGTTTTATATTGGGTGTAACCCACTTCAGATCTGAAGTGGTAATACAATTCCGAGTATGTTAGATTGCTATAAGCCATTCCCAGATTGATTTAAATGGTGAAACATTCCTAAAAATGCTGTTTTGATATTAGCTCATTCACTCCTGAAGTTTCATAATGAACTATTCCAATCTTTGAATTGGAAGAGTTCAAATGTGTCTTCAGGGGTGAATGAGTTAATAGGCCTACATATCAACTCAGACCATCTTCCTCAAAACAGAGAGAACATTTGCAACACCTATATGTGTGTCAATGCAGCATATCATAGTACCGTATTTATCCAAAGATACACACAGGGGATCAATTCATAATTTCTAAATCGAAGTAAGGGAATGGAATTATTACAGGGCATTGAAATTACATTTGTTGGCATTTGTTCTAAACTGTAATAGATAAGGGTGGGCTTGTTAACAGGCATGGGCTTATTGCTGGATAAATACGGTATTATACTACATGCATACAATAAGACTTTCCTAATTTTCCTCTGTGTTTTCACAGCTGACATGTAAATTACAAACATTTGTAAAGCAAAAGTATGCAAATTAAATACTTGACTCAATTTCATTCATTTTCACTGACCATTTCGTTCATTTTCACTGACCATGAACATTTGTGTCAAGGGAAAACTGAAGAACAAGAATGCATTGTAAAGCTTAAAATTTATTTGAAACAAATATGTTTTTTTTAAAATAATATTAGATGTTGATGAAAAGTTTGACTCCTAAAATGGAAAGTTAAAACACGTATTGACTCAAGGCGTAGAAAGATAAATTGACTTAAGACGTAGAAAGATATATTGACTCAGGACGTAGAAAGGTAAATAGACTCAGGACGTAGAAAGGTAAATAGACTCAGGATGACGTAGAAAGGTAAATAGACTCAGGACGTAGAAAGATAAATTGACTCAGGACGTAGAAAGGTAAATAGACTCAGGACGTAGAAAGATATATTGACTCAGGACGTAGAAACATAAATTGACTCAGGACGTAGAAACATAAATTGACTCAGGACGTAGAAAGGTAATTAGACTCAGGACGTAGAAGCTTCGTGGCTCATGACATGAAAACACGACACGTTTTGACTTGTGACATTAAAAGTCGATATTAATTAAAACATTATGCCCTGCCTTGTAACACATAACTCACAGAATTTGTTGTCATCATCAAGAATGAAGGAGACAGAAGCTAATCCCCAACAAACCACAACAGTCAGACACAATTAATACAAATAAATTCTGACTCTACTACTGGCCATTCATCGCAAAACTCACAATGACATTTACACCCAAACAAATTACCCACCAGAAGTGCCTCTGTAAACCACCCCCTCCACACAATGTGCTGTAAGTCTGCTTCCAATTTACGAGGTTTATTTTTGTATGTGTATAAGCTTAAGGAAAAGGTTACCACCGCAGCAGTGATAATTGGGAAGAAAAATTCCTTTTGGAACTATTTCATTCTTTCTCTTTGAGCATACTTCCTTATATGAAGAAGATAAAGCGACAATAATATAGTTTTTATGGCTACAATTTACTTCCTTTTGCAAGGAATTCATCTTTCATTTTTACACAGTGTATGCAAATGAAAATTTTTTAGAGGAAAAGTCTTGAGTTTAACCTTGAAATTCAATTTTTTTTATTTTATCTTTTTTTTTATTTTATCTTTTTATTTTATTTCCAAAGGTGTGTTTTATATGAAATATATTTGTAGATTAGAAAACGACTATAAAGACGGATTCTTCCATGGTTCCGTGTGGTTACCAAATAAATAGCAACAATGACCTTGACCTTGAGATATTCAAAAACATCAGATCAAGTTTGTTAAATTTAGCCCACCACCATATCTCCCCATCCCATATGAACCCAATCCTTGCCTCTGTAAATACCCTTCTTTATTCTTCAAGGAAAAAGTCTGCTTATACAGGTTTCAGGTTAAACTATGCAATTTATTCACGTTTTTATTTCAAACAATGCAGCCTCATAAAATAGCTGGTTTATACAAGTTTTCTGATTATACAATGGGGACTTCAGCTTTCTAAAGGTTTCATGTTTATACAATAAGATATGGAAAAGGTCAGGTTCATAAAAGGTCTCACTTCTACAGGTTTCCTGTTTAAGCAGGGTCTATAGATCACATAACAAGACAAATCTAAAATACAGAAACAACTCATTTTTCAAGCTAACAGTACTTTGCACTTAGCAAGTGTCAACAGCTGTTGAAGAAAACAGATTCTGCTTAGGAAACCGACTCCAATACACAACTCATTCTATGGAATTAACAGGAAAAAATATTTTTTTCATTCTTTCTATTACTTCTTGAAATCCACTTATTTGCCAAACTGCTATCGAGAGAAAATGAACCACAGCTCAGGAAATGTGCAAAAAACATATTTGGTTTGAAAAGTAACATCAAGTTGAACATATCGAATTCATTATAGGAAATTAACTTTCTGCAAACTAGGAATTACCCGAATAAGAGAATTGAAATATGTTTACCTGTACCAAAAATAATCTAACAAACGATCTCTCAACAGATTTTCCATGAGATGAATCATTTATCATTTGAAACGATCAATTCATTAATGTCAGTTATATACATCTGAGGCAAGACTGGGAACTATATTAGCAAAACAATGGTAAAGTCATATGCTGATATTTTACTAATTTTTGTGTGCTAGGAATCTTAGAGACATGTGAAATTCAACAACCATTTCCATTAATCTTCTGATTCAGAAAATATATTCAATGATATTTGAGAAAACAGAATATCAGCATTTCAGAATTATAGGTATACCTTTTGGAAAAGTATCATCTCAAAGACTAAAACATCACTTTTTTTATACATATTTTATCATTTTAGATGTTGCATATTATAATGTCATCTAAAGACAAGCTGAAAATTTAAGAAAAACAAGAGGCCCAGAGGGCCTGTATCACTCACCTGAAAATATTAAAGCAGACATAGGAAATTATTTTCATTAAATATTATACTGTACTACAAATATTTCACTCGCAAACTTTGTAAGCTCAATCCGTTGAAGCTACCAGTCAAATATTATTATATTATTCTATGCTTTTCGGTTCTTCAGAAGAGGTAAGTAGCTCGAGGTCATTTTCCTTCTCAAACTTTGTTGGCTCTATCCCAAGCAGCTACCAGCTGAATCTTATGAATCCATGCATTTTAGTTCTTCGGAACAAGTAGTTTGAAGTGTTGTTGACCTCTGTGACATTTAAAGTAGGTCAAGGTCATTTTCATTCAGAAACTTCGTGGACCTCAATCCAAAGAAGATACCAGCCAAATATTAAAGATTCAAGTCGTTTGATAGAAAGTCAAGGTAATTTTCACTCGCAGACTTTGTCGGCCTCTCACAAATGAAACTTTCAGCCAAATAACGTGTCTCTAGGTCTGTTCATTATTAAGAAGAAGTCTTTTGATGTGTTTGACAATTTTTTTCCTATATGACCTTGAAAGGTCAAAAGATTTTTCGTTCTGAAATTTTGGTGAGCTCGACCAAAAGAAGCTTCCAGCCAAATATTCAAACTCTAGAATTGTCAGTTCTTCAGAAGAAGTCGTTTAAAGCGTTTGACACATTTGACCCCTGTGACCTTGAATATACGTTGAGGTCATTTTCATTCACAAACTTTGTCGGGCTCTTTCCTAGGAAGCCACCAGCCAAATAGATTCTGTACCTTTCAGTTATTTAGAAGAAGTCGATTGAAGTTTTTGACACATTTGATCCTGTGTCATTTTCAAACTTTGTTGGGCTTTTACCAACGAACCTTTCAGCCAAATATCATGACTCTAGGCCTGTCCATTCTTCAGAAGAAGTTGTTTAAAGGAAAAGTTGAAAGATTATGGTGGTTTGACGGACGACGGATGCCGCATCATGACATAAATTTGAAATTTGAAATTATATTGGGGGGAAAAACACCACCTTTTCACTACCTATTTTCCATTAGACGGGGCATTTTGGCTGTAAAATGCCTTCTCCTTTCTCACCAAATGGATTATAATTACTACAGAACATATGACAAATATTTAAAAAAAAATAAAATATTTAAAGATATTGATTGCAATGGTTCAAAATTAGATGGAGTTTCATTTTCTCATCATCTTTTGAAATAAACGAACATTTTTATTTTATTTTCAATTTACAGTTAAGAAATTTAAAAAAGTTTCTGCTTCAGTATGAAGCCTTGTATAGCAAAGAAAAAACTGAAGCTTTTTATAAGATCGGAAAATGGTCTGTGTACAATCTCAACCTCTTATATAATCAGATCAATGCATAGCAACTGACACTTCCGACACAGATAGCGCCAATCCCATCCCTTAGCTCGACCAATCAGCTGAGCGGCATCTCGGCTATTATCTACAGGAGATCAGTGTGTGTCAATGAATGCCACTAGATAGCAGTTTATATTTTTTAATCAGGACATGGCCCACATCATGTTTGCATGTAAGCGATAACTAGTGGTTGGAAAAAAAAATTGCGATTTAAATGTTTTCTCTATATTTAAAGTTCCAGCGGTTCAGTACAGCGTAAATGGCATTTGTTGCACGAACATGTCAGTTATGTAGGGACAGCTGTGAAGCTTGGAACTGCGAGTGAAAGATTGAGCATTTAAAACTGGCCTATATGGCAGTTTGGGTGCTGAATAACTCTTGACATCGATAATGAAAGCAGAAAAGATCAACACTGGCTTAAATAACACAACCAAATTATTTAAATGTGTAAGAAAAGTGGGTTTTTTTACAGAAAAAAATAATTATATAAAGGTTTCCTGTTGCATTGTAGGAAAATTGCCAGAGAGTTCCACTGTAGTTTTCTGATCTTCAGTTACCTCCCCTTAGTTTCAATATAAACATATAGTGGGACTGTGCCAGGTAACTATCAGTGACAAGGTTCTTCATCTGGGATCTGTTACCAGTTTGTAAGTCCTGGGTTCGAATCCCAGTCCAACCAAGTTGCATTTTTTGTCTCCTGTTACATATCATTGTTCTTGATTTTCAACCTTTTTTTGTCTATTTCATCGGGTTAAATTCTGAAAGATACAAAATTCTTTCCAGATTTTTTAGATTTTTTTAGATTTTAAAAGCATGGTAAGAGTTTTTGACAGTGATACAGGGATCCTTGAGGATTGTAAATGTCTTCAATAAGATTCCTCAGTTTGGAAATATGTACATATGAATCGTGTCTCAATGTTTCAAGACCGACTCGTCCTTTCGTCAAGCTATAACTGAGTAAGCGATTTGTGTTGTTTACTTGTACAAGTTAACAATATGACGAAATTTTAATTTCATGTCACTCGACGCGGGACGTTTCACCTACGGATAGAGAGTGTATACACTCTGAACAGAACTGCAAATGTGTTTCCAAATACCAAATTTTCAGAAAAGACAATTTTCAGTTGATCAACAGATCAGGAACATCGGCTGTATTCGGCAGTTTCTAACTGCAGATGCATGCAAGATTTTGGTGCATTCACTTGTTACCTCTCGGTTGGATTATGGTAATGCCCTGCTCTGTGGTATGTCTGACAAACTAACTAGTCGTCTGCAGTGGGTCCAGAACACTGCAGCACGGCTAGTTACTTGTACTCGAAAGAGAGAGCACATCACACCTGCGCTTTATTCGTACGATACAGGTCGCAGTACAAAATTCTGGTATACACATACAAGGCACTGAATGGAACAGCTCTTCAGTACCTACAGGAGCTTGTTACCCTGTATCAGCCGTCAAGATCACTGCGTTCGGAGTCAGAATCTTTGTTGTGTGTTCCAAAATCTCGTACTGTGACCTACGGCAACAGATGCTTTGGAAAGGTTTCGGCTACGCTGTGGGATAGCTTACCATCTGCTATTAGGAAGTCAAATACCCTGGCCAAGTTCAAGAGGGACATAAAAACTCACCTCTTCACGTCTGCATTTTAGAATCTTTGCAAAGACGTCGTGTAAATACCACCCTTTTATTTGTTCAATTATGTGCACATTGCTTGTTAAATGTATGAAAGTGATTGCAAATCTTTGTTGTTTGTTTTCACAATTATAACCATTACTATTATCCATATGTTGTAAACCGCCTTAGAGTAATTTTACAAATTATATAGGGTGCTATATAAGTGTTGTATATTATTATTATAATTAATAGATCTCAGCGGGATATCAGCACCCACCATCGTATCCCTCGTTAGTATCGGCACCCACCCTCGTTAGTTCCGTATGTCAATTTGACTGTTTCTGTTCTTTTCTCCTATCCGTCAGATTATTAGCCATGTCAACAGTAAATACAGTTTGTGGTAAACTTTGATCAAAACTACATACTGCTGCTGTGTTAAGATCAACTGTCCTTTCAATAAAGGCCATAACATTCTACTGATGATGAGATTGGTAATGTGCAAAATCAGAACAAGAGATTTCTTCTAATAAAGCTCAAAATGAAATATTCAAAACTCGGGAACTGAAAGAACCTATATATAAAATGTGAGAAAATTCTGTACTAACTTTCTGAGAAATCGTAATAATAATTTTTAATGGTAAAATTCAAGATGTCTGTCAGCTTGTGGTCATTCTTTTTTCCAATCAAGCTGAAGAAGTAAACCTCCATAGGAAATTCAAGAAATAACTCTCTAGTACTTAATGAGAAATAGCCAGACTTTTACTCTCAAAATTCAGGATAACCACATGGCAGCCATCTTGTTCTTGCAATCAGCTTCAAATCGAAACGTGCACAACTATGGGAGCCAACTTTCAACATTTGGGAAAGAACCTTTCAGAACTTTTGGAGAGTGATAACAAGAATAGTTGAAATATTGATGATAGATGGAAGACGGACCACAGGCAGAAAGTAAACAGCCAATATTCAGCATATGATTGTGGACCGAAAAATCTTGAAGGAACTTTGATGTTTTATGGCAGACCATCTCATTTATTTGACATTTTTTCATGCCCCCTCATCTCACTTTTTGACACTGTTTACTCAAATTTTATTCTTCAAAATGTACAGGTCGCATACCAGCTGTGTCCAGTGCTGATATTTGCCAACTATCGAACAAGTGAAAGCAGGACAACTTAAGGATCCCTTTCCCACTGTACTGCCGCTTTTTTTTCTATATGTACAGTAACCTCCCCTTAACTTCTGTTCGGATATAACTGTAGTACATTGGGGCTCATACACTTCTGTTGTCCAGGTAACTCAATCGGTTTCAGCGATAGTATGACAATCTGGAGTCCAGGGTTGGAATTCCGGTCTGGCTACACACAATATTTAACACCCACAACACGGTGGTTGGTGGTATTTTGTTTATTTCATCTCCATTACGTTTTCATAAAAAGTCCTGCAAGGTATACTTTTCTTTTCGAAAATGATTTATCAAAGCTATAGTCATGCCGGAAAAACAAGTTTTGAATGCATGGTTTCATTTGTTGGCAGTGGCAAGGAGATCCTTGCATATCCACAACATGCGACCATTACTCTACCATGGGGTAGGAAAACAAGACCAGAGTTACCTACCTTGATTATCTATGAGCATGCGCAGCACGCCGAGAAGCTTGAATACTACAGCCATGGTTTCCGACCACATCAGAGAAAGAACCACTTCTATAACTTTAGCTTTTAAGAGGATACTTTTGTTGCTCACTGCAAGAAAATATAAACAGTAATTTTATGAAAGACAATATCGGAAATCTTCAAAGACACATGCACAGAAGGGTCACATCAGGACATCTACTGTAGTTATCCTGCAATAAGCCCAGATGATTAATCAATGACTACAAAGTCAGGGTGGGCTTATTTTTGGACAATGAAATCACCTTTTTTTTAAAAGAAATCTGTTCATTTTTATGGGTATGTGAATATAGCATGATTTATGAAAGTCATTGCTAAAATTCCCTTGAGAGAAATGCCACCATTTAGATGTTTATTATCAAACTTTCTTCTGTATGTAAACTCTGACTATCTCTAGTAACACTGAACTCTAATAAAAGTTACAAAAATTTGCGTAAAATACACCAGAAATAATCATTATGTCAACAGAAAATATGTTTTTGACTTGTTGTTGATTTTTAAGCAGTACAAACACAATGTGTAAAATGTGTACAACGTCATACATCAATGGCATTATGCAATGCTTTGCTCATGTGACCTAAATAATAACAATTTGTTTATTTCCAAATCATTCTATCAACTCATTCACCCCTGAAATTTCGAAATGAACTATTCCAAACTTTGAATTGGAAGAGCTCAAATGCGTCTTTAGGGGTGAATGAGTTAAGCATCTTGCAAATTTTGTCTTGGGGCTCATTCATAACTGAAAAAAGGATGTACGGCCGATCAATTAATGAATCAATCAGCATCTTGAAAAGCAAATTACTAGTTTGAGAAATATTATTCAAACTTAAGGTTTTTTAAGTTCATATTTTAAACCAATAAAGACACATCACAGAAGATAAAAAATGTGGCATACTGCCTTAACACACGTGCTTACCAGGTATGGCAAGGTTACGTAGAGCACTTAGTACGGCATGCTGTAGAGTTATGTCCCCTTCAGGAGTACTCTGAGCCGTGATCACACTCAACAGCTTCTCAACGATTCCCTGTTCGGCTAACTTTTGACAGTGTTCATCTGAAAACAAATTTTATTAAAAAATCGTAATTTTATCTCTTGATAGAGAAATGTACATTTAAATAATGATTTTTTCTACCTTGTACATGTACATACCGATATTTATAAGAAATTTTATATAAAAAAAAATCCATTTTCATGAAAATAAGTCTTGAGAAATCTATATACTCATTTAAATCTTGCAAACTTATAGTTTTTTTTTTTATCAATTTCGAATTCTACTGATTCAGATTTTTGCACAGCTTACCTCTACGAGCAAAGTTTCCAATTGCTAGAGCTGCAGAAAGTTGTAAGTGGGGTGAGTCGCTCTCCAACCATTTCACAGTCTCCACAAAGACAAGCCCCTCCCCTTTACTGAACATCACCTCCATACTTTTGTCTAAAATAGAAATGTAATCGATAAAAAAACCAAAAAACAACAACAAGAGGCTCAACCCTCCGACCCTAAGGGCAAAGTTTTAATAAACTGGGGCATGAAATTGCAGGACCAATAGGTCTTAATAATAATGCTAACCCATTCATCCCTAAAGTCACATTTGAACCTTACCAAATCAAAGACTGGGCAAGTCCAGTTTAAGTATGTAGGGGTGAATGAGTTTAAATTATTCCTGTTTATATTATAAAGATACCCAATAAATGTAATATTATTTCTGTTTGAACTGGCTACTTGACCCCAAGGCTCCTTCCAAGGGGGATGGGCTTACCTAGGGGTAATAAATTTAATCAACTTTCATAAAGTACTATTGGACATTTAAATCCATGAACACTTTTTAATTGTACTATTTTATGGTTCAGCAGAAGATTTTTTTTCATTAACTTTTTGCTACTTTCCCCACTTTGCCCTCGGCCCCCAAGAGGAGGATGAAAAGAAATAACATGGACCTTATTTTCATACTTATCAAACTCCCAATGCAAAATAATCAATTCTGCAGAAATTTGAATGATTCTAAAGACAAAACACTTTCCTTTACTAAGCACAGTATTACCTATTGAACTGATGTATAAATCATAGGGCATATTTTTTTCCCTTCTAATTAATCTTCCATCACATTCAATCGGGAGCTTGCGGTAATTTAGTTTAAATTTTATTTTATTTAGAAATGAAATAGTCCCCAGTTAAAGGATTCTGTGTTGAATGCGTTTTAGTGCAAAAACTGTACCTTTACTTATTTCTAAGCAAAATCTGACTTACCTCCTGTCAACAATAAGACAAGAAGGTCAGAGGCCATTTTGACTGTTTGTTGACTACCATCGTCAAGGCGACCGGTGTTTGATTGGATGATGCGAATAAGATGACTGCTGAGGTTGGTGTCTGCTAATATGTCCTTCAAATCATCTGAAACAGTTTTGAAGAAAATTGAAGAAACTGTGTGTTGTCCGTAAAGATGTATTGATTGGAAATATTGACCAAACAAAATGAAACATGTAAAGTATAAAAATATCGAATCTTGAGGCAATGATTGCACCTCTAGGTAAGTTAAATCCTCATTTCTTTCATATGTATATGTAAGCCCTCCAAAACATCTTGGCCACATTCTTGGGGAGAGTATGTTTTTCAGACATGTAACACTACCTATGACAGTGAATAACCAGGTCACAATAGAAATTACCTGGTAAATGAAAAATTAAGAAGGACAAGTCTGAACAAAACTGTACAAAAAGGGCAATAACTCTGTATTAACTAGAAAACATCTTTAAGACTAAAAGAATCGCTCACCCCCTTGGGGGTGAGATAGCNCTTTGACGTGACGTTATTGTATTGTTGACGTGACGTTGAACCATTGTTATGAATAGGGGAAACCCCAGTCCCAACCCAAGGGTGTGATTAATAGAATATTTCACCCCCTTGGAATCTCAACCCGAGGGGGAAGATTCTTAAGTTGCCAAACACAAGGCTTTGACGTGACGTTATTGTATTGTTGAGGTGACGTTGAACCATTGTTATGAATAGGGGAAACCCCAGTCCCAACCCTAGGGTGTGATTAATAGAATCTCTCACCCCCTTGGAATCTCCACCTGAGTGGGAAGATTGTTAAGTTGCCAAGAGGCTTTGGCGAGTGTTTGGCAACTTAAGAATCTTTCCCCGTCCAGGGTAAGCGAAAAGGATATCTCACACTGGTAAAGTGCGGCTACACCTGTCAAGGGCAAGAGAAAAGGATATCTCACACCAGTAAAATGTGAATACACCTGTCCAGGGTAAGAAAAAGGATAGCTCACACCGGTAAAATGTGGATATACCTGTCCAGGGTAAGAGAAAAGGATATCTCACACCGGTAAAATGTGGATATATCTGTCCAAGGTAAGAGAAAAGGATATCTCACACCAGTAAAATGTGAATACACCTGTCCAGGGTAAGAAAAAGGATAGCTCACACCGGTAAAATGTGGATATACCTGTCCAGGGTAAGAGAAAAGGATATCTCACACCGGTAAAATGTGGATACATCTGTCCAAGGTAAGAGAAAAGGATATCTCACACTGGTAAAATGTGGATACATCTGTCCAGGGTAATAGAAAAGGATATCTCACACCGGTAAAATGTGGATACACCTGTCCAGGGCAAGAGAAAAGGATATCTCACACTGGTAAAATGTGGATACACTGGTCCAGGGTAAGAGAAAAGGATATCTCACACCGGTAAAGTGCAGCTACACTTGTCCAGGGTAAGAGAAAAGGATATCTCACACCGGTAAAATGTGGATACACTTGTCCAGGGTAAGAGAAAAGGATATCTCACACTGGTAAAATGTGGATACACCTGTCCAGGGTAAGAGAAAAGGATATCCAGCACTGGTAAAATGTGGATACACCTGTCCAGGGTAAGAGAAAAGGATATCTCACACTGGGAAAATGTGGATACATCTGTCCAGGGTAATAGAAAAGGATATCTCACACCGGTAAAGTGCAGCTACACTTGTCCAGGGAAAGAGAAAAGGATATCTCACACTGGGAAAATGTGGATACATCTGTCCAGGGTAATAGAAAAGGATATCTCACACCAGTAAAGTGCGGCTACACTTTTCCAGGGTAAGAGAAAAGGATATCTCACACCAATAAAATGTGGATACATCTGTCCAGGGTAATAGAGAAGGATATCTCACACCGGTAAAATGTGGATACACCTGTCCAGGGTTAGAGAAATTAATGTCCCCTTGATCCTGTGGTGGACCTGTAAATAGCAACAGTGACCTTGGCAATGATGGAAATCTTTTAAGAACTGAAGTCAGTAGAGTCCTGACAATGAATTACAACAGAACAATGTGGGATGTGATCGGCCAGGATATACTTTCAAAACAAAGGTATAGGTGTGAGGGATACACAGGTGTTATCACATATGACGGCAATTAAGGATCCCTGTCCCACTGCACTGTGGTTTTATCCTATACACTGTAACCTCCCCTTCACTTCTGTTAGGATTTAACTGTAGCACTCTTGGGTCAGGACACTTCCATTGGCTGGGTAGCTCTATCAGGTAGAGTGATAGTATAACAACCTGAGTATGGCTGGGTAGCTCTATCGGGTAGAGTGATAGTATAACAACCTGAGTATGGCTGGGTAGCTCTATCGGGTAGAGTGAAAGTATAACAACCCAAGTATGGCTTAGTAGCTCTATCGGGTAGAGTGAAAGTATAACAACCTGAGTATGGCTGGGTAGCTCTATCGGGTAGAGTGATAGTATAACAACCTGAGTATGGCTGGGTAGCTCTATCGGGTAAAGTGATAGCATAACAACCTGAGTATGGCTGGGTAGTATGGCTGGGTAGCTCTATCGGGTAGAGTGATAGTATAACAACCTGAGTATGGCTGGGTAGCTCTATAGAGTAGAGTGATAGTATAACAACCTGAGTATGGCTTGGTAGCTCTATCGGGTAGAGTGAAAAATAAAACAACCCAAGTATGGCTTAGTAGCTCTATTGGGTAGAGTGATAGTATAACAACCGGAGTATGGCTGGGTAGCTTTATCGAGTAGAGTGATAGTATAACAACCTGAGTATGGCTGGGTAGCTCTATCGGGTAGAGTGAAAATATAACAACCCAAGTATGGCTTAGTAGCTCTATTGGGTAGAGTGATAGTATAACAACCTGAGTATGGCTGGGGAGCTCTATCGGGTAGAGTGATAATATAACAACCTGAGTATGGCTGGGGAGCTCTATCGGGGAGAGGGAAAAAAAAAAAAAACCAAGTATGGCTTAGTAGCTCTATTGGGTATAGTATAACAACCTGAGTATGGCTGGGTAGCTCTATCGGGTAGAATGATAATATAACAACCTGAGTATGGCTGGGTAGCTCTATCCGGTAGAGTGATAGTATAACAACCTGAGTATGGCTGGGTAGTATGGCTGGGTAGTATGGCTGGGTAGCTCTATCGGGTAGAGTGATAGAATAACAACCTGAGTATGGTTGGGTAGCTCTATCGGGTATAGTGATAGTATAACAACCTGAGTATGGCTGGGTAGCTCTATCGGTTAGAGTGATAGTATAATAACCTGAGTATGGCTGGGTAGCTCTATCGGGTAGAGTGATACTATCAGGTAGAGTGATAGTATAAAAACCCAAGTATGGCTGGGTAGCTCTATCGGGTAGAGTGATACTATCAGGTAGAGTGATAGTATAAAAACCCAAGTATGGCTGGGGAGCTCTATCGGGTAGAGGGATAGTATAATAACCCAAGTATGGCTGGGTAGCTCTATCGGTTAGAGTGATAGTATAATAACCCAAGTAGGGCTGGGTAGCTCTATCGGGTAGAGTGATAATATAACAACCTGAGTATGGCTGGGTAGTATGGCTGGGTAGTATGGCTGGGGAGCTCTATCGGGTAGAGTTAGAGTATAACAACCAGAGTATGGCTGGGGAGCTCTATCGGGTAGAGTTAGAGTATAACAACCAGAGTATGGCTGGGTAGCTCTATCTGGTAGAGTGATAGTATAACAACCTGGGTATGGCTGGGTAGCTCTATCGGTTAGAGTGATAGTATAATAACCCAAGTAGGGCTGGGTAGCTCTATCGGGTAGAGTGATAATATAACAACCTGAGTATGGCTGGGTAGTATGGCTGGGTAGTATGGCTGGGGAGCTCTATCGGGTAGAGTTAGAGTATAACAACCAGAGTATGGCTGGGTAGCTCTATCTGGTAGAGTGATAGTATAACAACCTGGGTATGGCTGGGTAGCTCTATCGGTTAGAGTGATAGGATAATAATAATCAAGTATGGCTGGGGAGCTCTATCGGGTAGAGTGATGGGATAACAATCTGAGTATGGCTGGGTAACTCTATCGGGTAGAGTGATGGTATAACAACCTGAGTATGGCTGGGTAGCTCTATCGGGTAGAGTTAGAGTATAACAACCAGAGTATGGCTGGGTAGCTCTATCGGGTAGAGGGATAGTATAATAATAATCAAGTATGGCTGGGTAGCTCTATCGGTTAGAGTGATAGTATAATAATAATCAAGTATGGCTGGGTAGCTCTATCGGTTAGAGTGATAGTATAATAACCCAAGTATGGCTGGGTAGCTCTATTGGGTAGAGTAATAGTATAACAACCTGAGTATGGCTGGGTAGTATGGCTGGGTAGCTCTATTGGGTATAGTGATAGTATAACAACCCGAGTATGGCTGGGTAGCTCTATTGAGTAGAGTGATAGTATAACAACCTGAGTATGGCTGGGTATAGTGATAGTATAACAACCTGAGTATGGCTGGGTAGCTCTATCGGGTAGAGTAATAGAGCTATCGGGTAGAGTGATAGTATAACAACCTGAGTATGACTGGATAGCTCTATCGGGTAGCGTGATACTATAACAACCTGAGTATGGCTGGGTAGCTCTATTGGGTATAGTGATAGTATAACAACCTGAGTATGCCTGGGTATAGTGATAGTATAACAACCTGAGTATGGCTGGGTATAGCTCTATCGGGTAGAGTGATAGTATAACAACCCGAGTCTGGCTGGGTAGCTCTATCGGGTAGAGTGATAGTATAAGAACCTGAGTATGGCTGGGTAGCTCTATCGGGTAGAATGATAATATAACAACCTGAGTATGGCTGGGTAGCTCTATTGGGGAGAGTAATAGAGCTATCGGGGAGAGTGATAGTATAACAACCCGAGTCTGGCTGGGTAGCTCTATCGGGTAGAGTGATAGTATAACAACATGAGTATGGCTGGGTAGCTCTATCGGGTAGAGTAATAGAGCTATCGGGTAGAGTGAAAGTATAACAACCCGAGTCTGGCTGGGTAGCTCTATCGGGTAGAGTGATAGTATAACATCCTGAGTATGGCTGGGTATAGTGATAGTATAACAACCTGAGTATGGCTGGGGAGCTCTATTGGGTATAGTGATAGTATAACAACCTGAGTATGGCTGGGTAGCTCTATTGGGTAGAGTAATAGAGCTATCGGGTAGAGTGATAGTATAACAACCTGAGTATGACTGGATAGCTCTATCGGGTAGCGTGATACTATAACAACCTGAGTATGGCTGGGTAGCTCTATCGGTTAGAGTGATAGTATAATAACCCAAGTATGGCTGGGTAGCTCTATCGGGTAGAGTGATAGAATAACAACCTGAGTATGGCTGGGGAGCTCTATCGGGTAGAGTAATAGAGCTATCGGGGAGAGTGATAGTATAACAACCTGAGTATGGCTGGGTAGCTGTATCGGTTAGAGTGATAGTATAATAACCCAAGTATGGCTGGGTAGCTCTATCGGTTAGAGTGATAGTATAATAACCCAAGTATGGCTGGGTAGCTCTATCGGGTAGAGTGATAGAATAACAACCTGAGTATGGCTGGGTAGCTCTATCGGTTAGAGTGATAGTATAACAACCTGAGTATGGCTGGGTAGCTGTATCGGTTAGAGTGATAGTATAATAACCCAAGTATGGCTGGGTAGCTCTATCGGGTAGAGTGATGGTATAACAACCTGAATATGGCTGGGTAGCTCTATCGGGTAGAGTGATAGTATAATAACCTGAGTATGGCTGGGTAGCTCTATCGGGTAGAATGATAATATAACAACCTGAGTATGGCTGGGTAGCTCTATTGGGTAGAGTGATGGCATAACAACCTGATTCCAGGGTTCGAATCCTGGTCTAGCATCGCTGAATTTTACACTCATAACTCTGTTGTTGGTTATATTTTGTGTATTTCATCTTTATCATTTCTCATAGAAGTCTGGGAGGGTATCGTTTTCTTTTCAGAAATGATTTGTACTCGTGCCGAAAAAGCAGTTTCCTATACTAAGAGTTTTAGGTAGTGGTACGGGGATCCTTAATTTGAAGTGTTAAGGAAATATGATCAGGGGCTAGTTGTCCAGACAAATTGTGTCTGCATTGGCAAGTCAGCCATAAGGCTAGCCTATAACTATATGGAAGGAATCTTATAACAGATGAAATATCTCTGTTTTTGTGGTTTTCGTTACTTTACTCACCTATCTCAGAAAGGCTGATGAAGAGTTCTAGGATCATGTTTTCGTAGCAGTCGGATAGTTTCGTGTCCAGAAGGCTTACTATGGTACTACAGAGCGTTGACGACTGTAGCTTGTGTTGACACAGATCTGGGAGGACGGAAAGTCAAGTTACGTAAAAAACAGGTATTTATGATCATAATGTCCTTCAATAATGTTTTGTATTGAAAACAATCGAAATGTCCATTTCTGGTCATGGGTAAGCTAATATTTGATACAAAATTATTTCATTAATCTAGAAATACAACTGTCTTTCTCTATACTTACTTTTATAGAAATTTTCTACTTGGAAAAAGTACTTATTGCTGACATATTTCAGAACCGAAGCCAAAAACATTAAAACTGCATGTAATAAAGACTAAAATGTGATATATTTTTGAAGAAATTAGAGGAATTTTGAAAACATTTCATAGCAGTTGGACAAATTAAAAATCTGTTTCTGATTTACGGCCGTGTTTACCTGTGTCAACAAAACTGCCGATGGCGAGGAGCGCCATATTGCACATTTCCTTGTCGCCGCGGTGCTGCCACACATACTGTTCCAGTAGGTCCAGGGCGCCTTCCGTTAGCGCCTTCTCCAACATTTTGTCTACAAATAGCAAAACACAAACCTTCAAATCTCCAACACGGATTCATGGACTGAATAACGGTAGACTTCTGCCATGTATAAACATTTGTGATTTTTGCTGTAATATTATTGAAATGTACAATTTATAGACTCAAGTCCACACCCATCAACACTTTGCCAAAACACTTCATAAACAACTGGATCCCAATCCTTCGTGTACAGAAATTTAGTTTGATGAGATCAAACTTTTGTGGTAATATATCCGAACAAAATTTATTTTATTTTGCACTACAATGCTCAATAACTTTGATTTTAACGTGGTTTTCACATTTTCTAAATTATTACAATGAATGAGCTCCGAATTTGTGGATCTTATTCAGAATGCAAGAATAACACCCTACATTACAGGAGTGAAATTCACGGGTTGTGTTTAGACCATAAAATCAAAAGCGCTCTTGTGAGAGTTTAGAATTTATGGATCGTGTTCAGACGTCACATCGTTTTCAAACAAAAAAAATGTCTGGACATGGCTAGAAATGACTAAGTAAAAAAAAAAAAATATCCGAGGAAAAAAGTCGAAACTGAAAATGATGTACCGAATTATTCATATGATTTTTTTTTGAAATCGGCTTATAAAGTTAAGGAAGAGTTGTCTAACAAGATTTTGATCTACAGACAGACGGACGTACAAGCTGATTCCAGTTTAACTTCCAAATGATTATAATAAATCTAGTTTCGTAAAATGCAGGTCTGATGATATCTACTAAACTCACCGTTAGTATTGGTGACGTTGAGGAGGTAGCCACAAGCGGTGAGGCGTAGCCGGCTGGCCGCAGGATCTTCATTCTTCAGGTAGCTTCTCATCAGGTCCAGTAAAACGGGCAGACCGTTCTCTTGGTCTATAGCTTCACGGCCCTCGTCTTAAAACAAAATGCACAAAATAAGTCTATATATTTGAAAAAGACATCGTAAATGATTTGAGGATTTTGAATGCAACTTTATATTATCATCCAAAATCCAAGATCTTTGTATTTGTGTCATCTGAAAACAAAAGTTAACTCATTTCACCCCTGAAATTTCATAATGAACTTTTATAACCTTTAATTTGGAAGAGTTCAATGTGTCTTCAGGGGTGAATGAGTTAAAAGATAAGCCAATATGTTTGTAACATACAATGTAAGTTAGTCACGGATTTTGTATGCGACTTCATCATCAAAGTCAAGGTCGAATAGGCTTTAGTTTGTTTTGAACACAAACGGTAATTAAAAACTTATTTTGTGAGCTTTCAAAAATGTCTGGTTCCTTTTGTCAAGCTAAGGTGTGCAACATAAGAGTGCAAAATCAAGGTCATGATAATTGTATGTGTCAAGGTTGATATGCTAAAGATTGTTTTAAACACAAACAGTAATTGAAAACTTATTTTGTGAGCTTTCAAAAATGTCTGGTTCCTTTGTCAAGCTAAGAGTGCGAAGTCAGGTCAAGGTCTCTAAACTAAGAGTGCGAAGTCGGGTCAAGGTCTCAAACTAAGAGTGCGAAGTCAGGTCAAGGTCTCTAAACTAAGAGTGCGAAGCCAGGTCAAGGTCTCTAAACTAAGAGTGCGAAGTCAGGTCAAGGTCTATGTACTTGTCTCCATCAAATAGGTCAAGGGTTTTCTATAAGACTTATCAAAAGGGTCAAGGTTTAAGGTTCAAGGACATATGCGACTTCATCTACCAAGACAGAGGTAAATGACTAAAACAGGTAATTTTACATTTTAAACCTTTCACCCTATGTAACTTTAGTAGACTCTACCATGTGTTGATCTGGATGAGTCCATTTTGGTCTACAGTGATGAAAGGGTTAAATAACAAAAGCTGATCAGGTAGTAGGTCAATATATATGGGACTCTATTAAAAAGGTCAAGGTTTTTGTGTACATGAGACTAGTTTTTGATTTTGTGCATGGCTTTAAAACTAAGATCATAGGGCGGCTATTATGAATGGGTTCTGTTCTGGAGTTCGCTATCCAGAAATGTATTTATCCTGCATTAAGCAAACAGGGCCAACGCATAATCTCTGAGGACTCAAAGTAGGGGGATGGTCTTATCATAGGACAATGCAATAGCATCTGTTTACAATTCTACTCAGAACTGCAATAGAAATGAGTGGGCTTATTACCAGGCGTGGGCTTATTGCTTCGTAAATACATAATCTGCAGCGCTATATCTTTTTACATTTTTTACTTGTAATTTCAAACTAAAACATTCATATCTTTTAAGCAGTTTTCCTGTAGGCTTCCAACGAAATGTGTCCCAGAATTTTCACTGATAACTCATATGTATCTGAACCAAAAAATACATTGACCCTGTAAATTACACTATATCAGCTATATATCTAGCTGCACCGGAAAAACGTTGGTTGCAAAAAAATCTATTTTAGCCGATACCAATACACAGAACACAAAATCCTGCATATATCAGCACTTTATTCGGAGAACCGTTTAAAAAACCCAAATATCTTCCAGATTTTATCTACCACAATAAAGCTGGCGGAAACACAACAAATCGTTTAGAATTATGGACGGAAGGAAAATATATGGCCAAGCAGTAATTGTTTGGAAATGCTCCGACATTGTGTGTCATTTTAAACCAGTTCAATAGCTTTCGGTACAGGGGAGCCGGAGGCTGGTCTGACTCAATCCCCATCAATCTATCCTCCCTCGCTCCTGATAACCCTACTTCCTTCTTTTTATAGCCAGATAATTTTCTAGCCCTAAATTTGACATTTAAGTACGCATAATTTTAGCAGTGTGTTTGAATATAAATGCTCTGGTAAGATTCGGTAGTACCAAGTTGGAAGATAAGCCTATCTCTTTGGACCTTAATGTTACCTAAATTTACACATCCAATAGAATGGAACAGCTTTATCACCATGAAAATCCCCCCTCCGAAATCCTCCTCCTCACAAATTCTCACCCCCTCCCCATCCCTCAAAAACAAATAACAGAAAAACTCATTCAAGTCTTTCCCCGTCTTTCACCAACAAAGTATTATCCCCCCCCCCCCCCATATGCTGCAGGTTTCCAATAAATTGACTGGGATTTACTTCGAATTATCTCGGTTGCCAGTTCTATTTGATGAACGGCTTTGTGGTTCTAAATATAGGAAAATGAAATAATGGGTCGCAATGGTGTCCAATTTCGCCAGGGATATGTTTCAGGTAATGAAACCAACAAACAGCACAGTAAATAACACTATAATCGTTCTGGGTTGTGTGGGGGTGGGGAGAATAAATAAAATATAACATAAATCATTCATGAGACTTAGGTAGGGTTCCGGGTAAAGCAATCAGCTTGTTGGTGGACTCCTTTTACAGTAAGTCCTAACAAAAATTTGAAAAGAAATATAAAAGTTTAAAAGTCACAAGTATTAAGACTGCAGGCAAAACACTAGATAACTCTGTTGCTGTTTGTATGAACTCCCCTTAGTTAAGATTTGTATTAGAGAATGGCTGTGTTATGATCGGAGGTCCAGGGTCTATTTTCTCCCAGAACACTGTCAACTTTACTTTCGTTTGTTTTGTCAAGTCAGTAAAAATACCCATCCAATTCACATTTACAACTAACTTTTGGCTGTGGTAAAGGAATTTTCTAAATTCTTTCATTTTATTTATATCCGAAGTTGATTACTTAATTTTTCACTCTAAAAACTACATTTGAGCAAGGTTTAAGCATCTGGAAGTTATCAGAATTATTCTTTGACATATTTAATCAAGTAATATAGCTGATCTTAATGAATTTGAAATTGTATTTTTCCTGTATACATTTGGCTCATAAAAACAAACAAAACAAGCCTTTTTTATAGATCAGAGAATGTTGGGAAGAATTTCAGATTTACACGGATTATAATGAGAAGAATGTTGAGTTGTTTTGTGATTGATAGGAGCACACGGTTTTGTCCAAATAACACTTAGGTATGACCTTTGTGTAGGTGAGAGGGGGGAGATGGGGAAGGGGCAAGCGGGCTTGGCAAAGGCGAGGAACAGAGATAAGGTGATGAAACGTGGGGGTGGATAAGGACAGAATGCTGTGTTAATGAAAAATAATGAAGAATGGAAGGGAATAAAGTTACAGTGGAAAAAGAGAGAGATTTGGAAAGAAAGAAAGTAACAAATAGAAATGACAAAAGGGAGGGGAACAAAAGAGACAAATTAAGAGGAAAGACAGATGAAAAAGGGCAAAACAGGGATGGAAAGAGGAAAAAAGACAGGAGATAGAAAGAAACAATAAATGAGAGAAAAGGAATTAAAAGTAAGGAGAAGTATAGATAAGGGAAGACAGATTAATGAAGAAAGATTAGATGTTGGAAAAAATACAGACTTAGGGAGACATGGAAAGGAAGAATAGACACAAGATAAATGACAGAACAAACAAAAGGAGAAAGATAAATGGAATAAAGGAACGATGAAGAGACAGGAATGAAGGAGAGATAAATTGGAAAGAAAAGGATGAGTAAGTGGACGTAGTAGAAGGGGGAGTGAAGGAAGCGATCTCCAGTAATTATATCCTCTACTGTGTCTGTATCATGATTTACCTACACAACTTTTCAATTACGAGTCAGCACATACACAACTGTAGATCTTGCCTAAATGTATTGCCTGTATCATCCACAAGCTCACCTCGAGCTCCAGTCTGGCAGGAGGACACGCGCACTCACCTTAATGAATGAAACAGATTTCTCAAACCCAGCCCGTCAACAACCACAACTCTCTAGACCCAAAGATTAATACACAGCATAAATGGTTCCATTATACTTTTCTGACAATGCAAATATCAAGAAAAAAATGTAAGCCAGACATTTCTTCTGTTTCTTTCCCTTCCCCTGTTACTCCAATTTACAAAGTAACATATATACAGGGAATATGGCAACCCATAAAAAGTTGGGAATATTGCTCCAGCAACTTTCATCCCTGGAGTGTATTCAAGTTTTGAGCTACAAAGTAAAGTCAAGATTTTGATGGATCTTGACTTGTTAATGGTACTTCATGTTTTTTTGAAGAAAAAAGAATAAAAAGCCCTGGAGCTTGACTAAAAGTAATTTTCTTGAAGACTGCAAAACCATAAAATGGAAGAGATTCTTATTTCTGAACATTCTTGTGTCGACATTGTTTGTTTTCACCTGACCTTGCCACAACCTTGACCTTGTCCAAATAACCAGATACACTTTCTCCTTCAGGCCATGTGTGCAAACAACAGCAAGCCTGCTGCCACAAATTAAACCTACAAGAAGCACCACCTGTTGATAAATGTTTGTAGGGCCTTTGTGTGGTGAATATTATACAAGTTGATACTATAAACAACTGAAATGTACGTATACATCTAAAATGTCATTCATAATGAAACTGAGATCACAGTGAAATTGACATCAGAATAAAATGACATCACCATAAAACTGACATCACAATGAAATTGACATCAGAATGAAATGACATCACCATAAAACTGACATCACAATGAAACTGGTACCACAATGAAATTTACACCATAATGAAACTGGCATCACAGTGAAAATGAAATCACCATGAAATTCATACTTGATGTGATATTGACAATTAGGCTATTCTGTCTATAAAGATCCAACATTGTAGAATAATTGAACTTGCGATAGAAGTGAAACTCATATATCGATATACAGTATTATTGCTAATTTTGCTATCTGACTTCAAAACAATATACCTGTGTATAAAACCCACATCCACATTTATATAAAACACCAATTTTGCAAAAAGTGTCTCGATTTTAAAGCCTTCTGTATATATAACAATCAACAGCATTGAAATATCATATAGGTCAACTTTGCACTAGAAGCACTTTAATAAATGTCAGTTTTTTCACAACAAATCTTAAATGTGATTGGTTCGTTTGGCGAGTGAGAAAAAGGTAA